GATCCAGTGATGTTACGCCGCTGTTCAGTGCGGCATCCTGGTAACTGATCACTTCTTGATCGGCACGAATATCATACATTTTGCACGTGCAGTCATCCGAGCCAGTGATAATTGCATTGGCACTAGGGTAGAACTGAAGAAAGAGGAAGTTTGGTGAATCCATTTCCATGTATGTGCTTTGATCTTAAATTAAATCGGAAAGACTCAAATCTTTGAAACTGTTAGAAGGTTAGCATAATCAGTGAGGAAGCCAAAAAATAACTGTGATTTTTCCCATGTTTAACTCACTGAAATGGCGTTGATGTCACTCGTGTGACCCTGGAAGGTTTGCTTGCACTGGCCATCCCTGATGTCCCACAGCTTGGCCAGAGAGTCGCAAGCACCAGAAACAAAGGAGTTCATGTCCGGAGACAGAGACAGACACATGCAATCACCAACATGGTTCAGGAAAACAGTCTTCTGCTTTCCAGTCTCCAAATCCCACAATGCACTGGCAGAAAAATGGGAGGGAAATTAACAAAACTGTAACAAAAGACAATGAGTGGTGCTTTCTGGTTGGTCTCAATAGGCAGTTGCTGGTCCCTAGACGTTTATGGGATTTTTTTAGACGTTTATGGGATTTATGCTTTACTAGACTGCAAGTAACTTAATATAAAGTAAAAGCACAACTCTTCTCAACAAGCTGCATAGCATTGTGAAAAATCTCCAACCTTACCTAATAATAATGGAGATGCTTGCTGTACTTCTAGTCTAGCTAGACTTTGTGAGATGACAGTGGCACCATTTAACTTACATTTTTAGTTGAAGGTATTTTTTTAATGGATATGTTAATCAATTTCTTGGCTAAAAGAAAGTTGTAGCACATTATTCCCTGATAAACCTAAACACAAGTATGCTATGATGTTCAATTTGCATGTGAGTATCATCCAGTTATTTTTGTATTTTAATACAATATTTATTATTTGGCAGGTTGATCAAATAATGAGTCCAGAAAGTGATAAAAATTGAAGAAAAAATTAAATAGATACATAATGATTGCGTCTGCTACTTTTATCGTACTGGAAATCAAGTTGAGCACATTGCATCGTTTTTCACGTGATGTGTGTGTATGTTTTTTTTATATTGCACGTTTTAGCAAATATAGCTTGCAAACTAT